AACCTTAACTTCCTTCATATAAACTGTTTCTCCACAATTTATAACATCAGCAAAGTAGTCAAGAAATGGAGAAATTTATTTTATTCATATATGTGTTCACTCTCTATTTCAACAGGATGCTAAGATTTCCAATTCTTTAGGATTTACTAATTGAGTAACAGGCTTATAACAGATGTTTTTTAAACCATAGGGGCAATACTTTTGTTAGGTCAACTGAAGCTTTACAAAATTACTGCAACATTTTGAGTTTTAAGAATTCATAACCATGTAATTTAGGAAAAATAAGAAAAGAAGAAAAATGTAGCTTACTTCCATACTTGCAAGGATTAGAGAAAGTCTTCAAATATATTAATTGAGTCTATATCTGATGAAGTTCGATTGTGATAAGGTCAGTCCCAAATCCTGTTACATAGTCAAAGCAAAACAAACAAACAAACAAACAAAACGTTTGGCATCATTTAGATACATACACAGTCATTTCTTCATCAGCAGTACCCTGTTCAATAACCTATTGCAACTGCACCAATTTGCTTCTAATGATTTTTAAGCCAACAATTTATTTTATCTTTTATATTTGCTAAAAGGATCCATTTGAAACCAAGCAATTATCCACTTGAAATTTTTTTGTTGTTAAAATAGGTAGTGGCAAAACTCTTTGTCTGATGACAGGATCTACCAAAGAAATGTTAAATATCTTCCTTTAAATTTCTCAGTATAGTAAGTTAAAATTGTTACAAAACCGGAGAAGCCCCTTTGGAGTAGATTTCAGTATCTGTTAAAGGGTTCATTAATCAGCCTGCAAACACTGGACTCCATGGAGTTCTCAAATGCCAGATGAATGCACTAGATAAAATTTTAGAAGTTAGACACATCTGATCTTCTGCCTACCCCTGAGGTCCAGAAACTTCTTATCCTATATTGCAGCCAGGGAAAAGTTTGGTTTTCAATTTAAGTGGGTTTACATTATTATATCAACTATTTCAGCGGAGGCACTGGGGATAAGCTGAGGCCTGATCATATTTTTTTTTAATAATCTTGATCTTCAATCCTACAAAACTAATCTCTTAAATCAGTGAGAAAACTGGTGAATGGGTGGATGTGTTCAATCCAAATTACGTTTCCATTAGAGACCAATTAAAATATATACAGTACGTTCACATAATTTTATTATATGTTTTTCAGTTACTTGCCTTTGATATAGTTATGTCAGTGTACTCAGTAGTATACGAAAGATAAAATCAGGAAGAAGCACAATAGCTAAGACAAAAGAACAAAAAATTTCCTAAGAATTTATCTTTCCTTAGGAACTTACTAAAGCTTTATCTGTACTGCCCAATTATCTTGTCATCAGACAAGGCAAACAGTCTTTCCTGAGGGCAGTAATGGATGACATCACACTCTATTTGATCTCTCACTCACCTTCAAAATGACCTCACAATGTTTTTCTCCATTCAGCTTTTGAGATATGCTTTTTTCTATCTTCAAGTGACTGGGAAAAAATAGTAAAATTGTACACTCCTGAGGTTATTGAAGAAAATAACTGTTCAACATAGAAAAGTAATAATTGAAGCAACATCAACAACAAAATTTGCCAGATTTCAAATCAGCATCTGTGCCTATGCTACATGAAGATTTTAACCACTGCTCTATTTAAGTACAGGTAGCCCTTGCTTAGACTGAGACCTCAAATGGGACTGGCAACTAACTAAAACTATGACTGTCTAATGATTTTACTTCAGCTTTCCTGTGTTTCACAGATCTGTGAAGGTTATAATGCAGGCTTTGCTCACAAAGTTATTACAAGTAGCATGCCTAATTTATAAGTATACAGCAGTCAAACTGACAAATAAAAGATGTTGACAGTGTCTCTGATATCAGCTGTACTTTAGTGGATGTGAAATGGGATAATATGCCAATGAATATCTATGGAGATTCTCAGTCATCTAGGTAATAGTCATCCCAAAGATGCTTTTTCACAAGGCAATTGGTCAAGAAAGTCCAGCTGCCTCATGAAAAAGCACCTTTGTGATGCTAATGAATATATAGAACAGAATTAAACATTATGGTCCAATCAAAAAAGTTTACTAATATTTCCCCAAGGGTAAATATTAGGTATGGTAGCTTTAAGAAGAGAATTTAGGGAAAGTTGTTTTAAAAACTTATAAGTTTTAAGGAAAGTTCTGAACAAAATCAAAAAATGATTTTCAGCAGTTAAAAATGGAAAAATAAAATGTATGTTTTTCAAATTTAGCATGATTCACTTATTCCTATTATCAAGTATCCTATTACTGTCCAGCTTATTTTGATTGGTCATTATTAGCTGTGCTTCTTTACTTGATGGATCAAAATTCTTCTTTCTAAATTCTGGAGATTGGGCTATTTATTATATGAAATTAATTCATCTTGCTCTGACATGTAATGAATTTTATGTTCTACAAGACTGAGTATATTGAAACAAAAGGCAGCGTTTTCATAAAGCAATTACTATATTCTCTGTGTTATATGGCCATTTTATTTGGATCTTAGCCAATATGACCAAACAAAGCAGCCCCAGTGGTATGTTTTCATCAGATGATACAAAGCCATTGTAATTTATGCAGGTTTGGATTATATTTTCCAAATTGCCATCTCACGTGATCCTGGCCATATAACAAATAATAACCAATTAAAAGAGGAATCCATTGAAATAGCTCCATTTGTTTTGTGCCAATACTCATTGTCATGTAAAAGAATGTTCCCACTAAAGATTTTGTTTCATCTTGTTGCAAATTAAATCTCTTACCAGAACTTCTTTTCCAATGTAAGTAATTGTCATTTTCCAATTATCAATAGTTCCCTCATTTTGTTTTATCCTTTCATCAAGGAAATCCCCAAGCGTCATACAAATTTCGTACACATTAGTCACATTTTGTTACATCTAATGTTCCTGTTAGAATGAGGCATCAGTTCTAATCAAAGGCTATTCTCACAGAAAATATTTTATTTGTATTGATTTATCAGATTTCAGTTGATGTTTGGCAAAGTGCTTTGGATTAAAAGCAAACCATCAGTCCTCCCATACTGCCCTTTTCTTTGGAAGAGATTTGTGCATGAGTCCTATCCAGTGGTGGGATTCAGTAGGTTCGCACCACTTCAGCAGAACCGGTAGCTAATTTTTTGTTGCCTAGGACCAGAATGGACTTCCAGAAGTGGCATCCACACAGAAAACCGGTTGTTCACATATTTGAATCCCACCAGTGGTCCTATCCTATATGATTAATTGCTAGGTATCTCATTTGGTGAATAAACAGCTATGGAATTGTTGAGACCAAAAGAACTGAGCTCCAGCAACCCTGCAAGAATGCATTTAGCTCTCTGAATTGAAGGTGCTATCAAAATATGGTTTTAAACATTCTCAGAGTTTTCCAGTGTCATCAGTATAACTAACTGCCCTGGAAATCATTTAGTTTAAAAAGAAATGTTTGACTTGGACCAGCTGTAGATAAAACCTTTAGAAATCAGTGGCCTGCAGAAATTTATTGTTGGAGTGGAAGTGGAAGAAAAATAGTACAAGCAAAGAAGTTTTTTGTCTTAGTCCAATTCATGTGTAAACCCTGCTCCGCAGGACTTGAGAGTAATCAGTCTGAGGTTACAAGTGGGATCCTAGTGCAGTATCTCATACTAAGGATGAATCTTGTTAAAGACTTGTGTTCTGCAGGACTGGGTGTATTGAAAGTCAGGCTTTTCATATAGCAATTATCACATTCAATGTGTTATCTGACCATGTAGGACCTCTAACCAAACCTCTTGGGCAGGACTAGACTTTGGAGACGTCTTCTCAGGATTGCCAGTTGTGAATTTTTATTGGGTGAATCAGTTAATTGAGCAATGGGAGATTTAGCTGTGGGTTGTTCAAATTCTTTTTTTTTTTACCAGAAATAGCCTACCTGTTGTGATTGGACCTCAGATTTTTCTACGTGCAAATTATGCAGACTAGAGTAGAGTCTGCAAGAGTGGGTTCCTTCCTGGAAACCTTTTAGATCTGCAAACTGTCTGTTTAGTCTAGTTCACTCAGGTACCATAGAGTCTTATTTCTGGCCAATTTTAATGTTTTATCTTCAGCAATATAGGATGAGAGATTTCATAAAATCACATTTAATGAGAAAAATTGTCCCGCTGGCCAATATGAACCCAAAACATTATAGTATGTATCTCTTCACTGTTATTCTGTTGGAATTTATATGCTGGCATGCTATGCTGCCTTCTAGCAGAGATCAAGCTTTCGATAAGAGAGAAATGCTTTATTTTCTATCTGAGACCAGAACTCTGGTATTATGAACAAAATTGCCAAGTTCTTATGAGCAGCTATTGTCGTAAGATGACTTAAGGTATCCAAACCCTAGAACAGACCTCAACATTTGCAGTCCCTGGGTCATATCCAGCTGTTTGGCTGTTCCTGTCCAACCTTTGTGAGGTCAATTGGAAATTACAAATCAGATGTAAATAAGTGTACACCAGGCATGCAGTACAACTTCAGTTGCTTTTATTTTGAAGGTGACTGCTATTTTTTTTTCCAATTTACGAATGTGGATGCATGCACAGGCATCTTCACATTGGTTGAGCCCTTCACAACATTCCCAGTTTCTCATGTGACTCCTTGGGAAAAATTCATTGTCCACCCCTGCCCTAGAATCACATCACAAAGAAGTCCTTTTATTAATTTATCTACATGCTGCTTTTATTTCATCTATTTTATTTTGTTCTTTTTTATTTGTAAAAATAGAAACATTTATGTGTAAATATTAATTGGAGGTCAGGTTTTAGAATTCTGATCAGATTTTGGCTGATTTGTATTCCCCTAATATACAGTATATTCACTTATAATCCTAAAGATCCTTTTCATTTTTATCTTTCAGTTGTGATGATGGCATTTTTTTTTTTACCAAGCAGCTGAATGTGAAAACAGTTTGAACATCATCTGTTGTATTTCCCCCCTTTTTGTTTTTTTTTTTACTTTCCAGGGGAATGTGACATTTTCCTGTTCAGAACTGCCAATCACTCCCATCACTTTTGAGAGCTCCAATAGCAGTTACTTACTGTTACCCGGCACTCCTCAGATTGATGGCTTGTCTGTCAGCTTCCAGTTTAGAACGTGGAACAAGGATGGTCTCCTTCTGTCAACTGAATTGTCAGAAAATTCTGGCTCGCTTTTGTTGTATCTCCACCATGGCAGACTGATCCTCAACATCCAAAAAGGAGCAGAGAGATACGTGGGCATCAGTGCAGGTATTGGTTTTTACCAGATGCATATTTCCTTCTCACTTTTGTTGTTGTTAAATAAGGATTCTAGTTCGTAACAGAGAAATGGCACTCTTTGTTTTAAGTGGGAAAGCTAACCCTCAAACGGTCATTTGTTAATCCAAGCATAATACATGGTTTGCCAACTATTATAAAACTCCAATTTTCATTCATCTGAAGTGCAGACCCAATGTAGAAGGATGATGAAAGTTGAGGTTCAGTATTTATATGGCTAGACGCTGCTTTTCCTTCTTAGTATTTCTCTCCTTTCTAATACAGGGGTCTCCAACCTGTGGGCTGGGGCCCACTATCAGTTCGTGGCCTATTCGCAACCAGGCTGTGTGAGTGGCTGGCTGGTGTGCACACATAGCCCCACTCACACGAGCATAGTGGACACTCAGGGGCCCTTCGGGCTAGCACTTGAGGCCTCACTCGCGCGAGCATCACAAGTGCTCTTGGTCTCAATCGTGCAAGCAATGCCCCTCCCACAAAACCATCCCCTCTTTCCCCGCTCTCCCCCCTCCAGGCCACCAACCCAGAACGATTGGGGAAATCTGTACTAATGGATAGAATGCTGTTCATTTTTTAAACAATTCCCTGCTTTGTAGTTGATATCATAACAAATCCTTGCTTTGACATTATTCTGGGATGCAAAGATGACATTTCAAAAGACATCTGGCAGCAAATCCTCATTATATGCTCAGTGCTCAATTCTTGAATTCCTAAAGAAAAGCCTATCATTCTACTGAAGAAGCATAAGCATACACATACGGAAGAGCAAGAAAATCCTGTGACATTTTAAATACATATCCCTTTATAGAACAGGCTTTTCATGGAAGGGCTCAGCTGTCTTAAATACATTTCTGCAATAAATTTATTCTTTACTTCAAGTACTTGGTTGGAATTCAAAATAGAGTCAAGTATTTATTACTATTATTATTATTCCTAAATCCCTGTTCCTATCAGAGCTAGAACAGCAAATATTCATGGACAAGCTATAAATTATGGCCAGAGTAGAAGTCTCATCCAAACTATCAGGAAGGATTGAGGAGCAGAAAAGCAAAAAACAACAGATTAATATCAGAACTCAGGAAGCTTTATTCAAGCAAAGTTGAGAAGGAATAAGCAACCTTCTGCCTAATCCAGAGGAACCAATAACCCATTAAGGGACTAGAATTGCCCGAAACAGATAGCAGAGTGTTCCATTAAGTAATTCAGTATGTGAACAAATGAATATAAATTAAGTGAATTATAAGATCATAGATGTGGGTTTGGGAATTACCTTGGAGATCATCTGGTCCAATCTCCTTCTCAGTGCAAGAATCGAATATTATAGCATAATAAACCAATGGTCATCCAGCCTCTGATGACCATCAGGGAAGGACAATTTACACTTCTTAAAGCTTTCTGTTCAACTGTTGAGCACCTCTGATAGTTAGAATATTTTTTTTCTAATGACCAATCAAAATCTATATCCTTGTAATTTGAATCCATTCTTGCCTTCACTGCCTCTGCCCCCTCCATCTTCTGGAAGAACTCCACAATTCTACATAACCTTTCTTCAAACACTTGAGTACTGCTCACAGTCTTCATAATATAATATTTTTGGTGCAATCTAATCAAAATGCGGAATATGCTGCAGTAATGGCTTCTCTAGATCTTGAGATTACATACATACATACATATTCATATACATATACATATATGTGTGTGTGTGTGTGTGTGTGTGTCTTTTAAAATACTAAAAATGTGAATCCTGGGCATTTTAACAAATAAAAGAAAAAACGAACACCAGGATATAATAAACCAGCCTGTTTAACATAAACAAGCCTTTGGTTAAGAAGAGTCACTAAGCTTTCATCCTGCCAAAAACTGCCAGCATCATCAAAGTTAGAATAGAAGGAGATCGGGAAGGCAGCTCATATAGCCTCCTGCCTCTGCGCCCGGCTCCTTGAGCACGTCATCGGCTCGTTGATTGTATTAATCCGTATCGCGCAGAGTTGTTTCGCATCAGGCAAACTATCCTTGGCGCCACTGGTTGTTTTACGATCCTCAAGTGCTCTTTTAGAGCATGTGCAAGCACTTGGAGGTCAGCTGTCAATCCGTCCCTGCGCCCAAATTCCCTACCTCCCAGGGCCATTATCCTTCCCCACCCCCAAGGCCGTTGTCGTAATTCCTCTGTTCCAGTCCTGCAACAAGCAGCTGTTCCAGCATTCCTGCTCTCTGTCTTCCCCCTCCCTACCCCTCCTTCCAGATCACCTCAGCGCATCCGTCCCTGGCTTAGGGCCATTTGGTCCAACATCTCGGTCCATGGGAGTAGTGGTCGTCTCACCTATAGAGCCATCGTCCCAGTTGTGCAAAACGCTGTCATCGTCTTCCTTAGAGATCGTGCCCATCTCATCCATCATTCTACTGCCCCAATCCTGCCAAGGAAGCGTTAAATGTCTTCTCAGTAGGCCGTGGCACTGTTTTTCCCATCTAAGAGTCTGGTAAGCTGGCAAAAGATCTATATGCCGGTTGATGGAATTTTCATTAGAGAGCCAGGCTTCCTTGAGTAGGCGGCCACCCTTGGTAGTCTCACAAGCTATAACCTCTGTGTTAGCTAGATCGAACGTGTGGCCAGAGCTGGACATATGGGCAACTTGTGAGCGTTGCTTCTGCTTTCTAATAGCCAGTTCATGTTCATGAATCCTTGTCCTCAGCCTTTTAGTAGTTTCCCCAACGTAATTGCTCGCACAGTCTTTGCAATTGATTCTGTAAACTACAGATGATCTTTGATCGTTGAGGAGCAGTTCTTTTGGATGCATGACCTTGGACTTAAGGGTATGCTCGGGCCTATGGGCAATGCTCACATTGTAGGGGGCCAACAGCCATGCCGTGGCCTTGGAGCACCATGGATATAAGGGAGGGTTGTTCGTGTGGCCGGCATCGCTCTCTCTCTCTCTCTCTCTCTCTCTCTCTCTCTCTCTCTCTCTCTCTCTCTCTCTCAGACACACACACACACACACACACACACACACACACACAGTACATACGTACATACATGTTAATGGAGTCTAGGATTGCATGTAGGAATGGGGTACATAGGTCACATTGTTGATTCATGTTCAGCTTATGATTGCTAAGACATCCAGATTCTGTTGCCCAGCGTGCCCCTCCATCTATACTTATGCCTTTGATTTTTCTTATGCAAATGAAGATATTTGTATTTGTCTTTGCTGAAACTGAATTACTACAAATTTGAACATACACCTACTCAGCAAACATTATCTAGGGTGCATTGTGGGGCTACTCCAACAGCGCCACAATGACTTTATTGCTGAGTATCCAGTAGCACTTTAAACACACAAAAATGCCTCTCAATTTAGATCCTAAAACATTAACTGGGAAATAAGCTTAATTAGAAACAATGAAATTCCCATGGAATTGCGCAGGAATGTTATTTCATGGCCAACATGATGCAGCTGAGAATTAAATTAGATGGCTTCTTGAGAACAGATGTTATGAAAGTTCATGATAATCTTAATTTAAGGCAAAATACACCCACTCAACCTTTAAAATATCTATGTGATCGACATAATTGATCACTTCCATGTAATATCAGAGTTCTGTCAGCAGTGAGAATGCCCATAACCAGATGAACAAGAAACACACAATTATCCTGCCTATTCAGGATGGTTCTTATTTACAGGCTAAAAAACATGGCAAGTCCTTGTTCACATTATATATCCACAACAACAGCTTTCTGGATTTTAGATTGCTTATACCCTCCAGATTGGGGTGATTTGGCAAGTTGACATGCATAATAACTTCAGATGAATGCCTGGGTTTTCAGGCCATGCTGTGCTTATGCCAAACATTCCACTATTGGGTTTTGTTGCTTCCTGGAACGATCACTGTTATTCACAGACATTATCTATTCCTTTTAGTCCCCATGTGAATGGTTGATCAGGTTTATACTTCTTTGTTTCTTAGGCAACAATCTATATGACGGCTTGTGGCACTCGGTTAACATCAATGCCAGAAGACATCGCATCACCTTAACTCTTGATAATGATGTAGCATCAGCTGTACATGCTACCACCGTTTCCCAGATTTATTCAGGGCACAGCTATTATTTTGGAGGTAAGCTGTAATTTTAACAAAATACAAAACAAACCCTAACATACAACCAGCCTATCAAGGAAAGCCATGAAAACATAACTCCGTTGCACCCACCACTAAAAGTGGAGGCCCAATCTCCACTCATTTTTTTAAAAAAATGTGTTCATACTGATGGCTGCCAGCCAACAAGATAGTAAGCTGGCTGCTTGCCACACTCCAGAGATATACAGACTCAGTCAGAACTTTTTAGAAGCAAAGAGTCTTTTTTACCTATCAAGATGACAAATGTAATGCAGTCAAGGCCTGGCATGAGTTGAGACCAGGAATCCAATAAACAAACAACAAATCCAAGGGAAAAGACAAGAAACACAGTGAAGTGGAATCTAGAGTCCCTAGTACAACAGCATGATAAGGTAAACCTCAACAGAGCTGAGGTTTGAAAGATTATTCTCAGCTTTTTCACCATGGGAATGAAATCAATAAATCAGCCATGCTGAGCCTCCATCTAGGCATGTTATGCGTCAGAGTCTGCTTCTTGGCTGACCTCTCTGACCTGTGTAGCTCAGCCCTCTACTTTCAGATCCTTAAGGCCTGCTTCAGCTTTGGACTGGATGGATGAACCTCAGAGTCTGACAAGTTTCAGTGGGTGCAGGCAGTAGTCCTGGGCCTTGCTGGATCTGCCTCAGTTGGAGCTCCAACCTAGCTGGGATCATCCCCTCCAGGAGTGTTATCTCTAGAAAGCCATGGGTGTATTTCCTCCTCTTTATCATCCAAAGACAGTCCAGCAGAACCTTAATGCTGTACCCATATACTTTCAGGCCTAAAGTTACTGTCAAGTTTTCAAAGATCATTTGTAGGCAAGTAAGGTGGGGGCAATGTGGATCTCTGGTTGGGAGGGGATGCTATTCTTAAAGTGTTGTTGCTGCAACACAAAAGGCCTGCCTCCTGGGTCTCATTGGATTATACTCTTTAACTGATGGGACTTGGAGTGAATAGAATGGGTAAAGACTAGAGGAGAGAGGCAATCCTTTAAGTATGCAGATCTTATTTCATGGAGGGTTGGTTATCGCTTATAAATATTGGGGACTTCAAGTGTTAAAACATTTGCAATATAAAGAGAAACCAAAAAATGTCTCACACACACCCTATGAAAATGTGTTAGCTTTCTCTAAAACTGGAGTAGTTAAAATGAACTTTGTGGATCCATCTCTCCGGCAGATCTCTAAGTTTTATCAGTTTTGTAATGACAGAAAAGTTTTGTTAATGTTTGAATGAAAGTATATTTGATTTTGTATTTTCAAGCCCATACATAGTTGTTATGTATCATTGTGTGTTATCGAGCATAGTTATGATTCAAACTTTACTTAGAAGAGTGATTGCTAATTTTTTAAAAAATGGAGAAACCTTAGGGGGAAACTTATGCATTCTTGAAGATAATGTGCAAAATTCATTATGTTATGGAAATTGTTTACAAAAACTTATATTAGGCAAAATTACAAAGCAAAACACATGCCTGGGGAAATGTGCACCAAATGCCTAGCAATCAGCACAAAATGCTTAAAGAAAGTTCCTCTGATCTGAAAAAATAAATGTGATAAGATCATAAAACTGAAGAAATGTAGGAGAAAATAGGTTGATGTAGTGTGTGTGTGTGTGTGTGAGAGAGAGAGAGAGAGAGAGAGAGAGAAAGGAATGGAAGGGAAGGAATTAGCATCAGTACTTGAACATCATTAAATCTTTAGCAACTATGAAGTTTATGAGCATCAACCTCACTTTTTCTCAACCAAGAACATTCCTTGCTGGCCAATACCTTTTCTTGGCTGAGAAAAAGTGAGGTTGATGCTCATAAACTTCATAGTTGCTAAAGATTTAATGATGCACAAGTACTGTATGCTAATCCCTTCCCTCCCCCCCCCCCTCTCTCTCTCTCTCACACACACACACACACACACACACACACACACACACACACACACACACGTCCCCCTTAGCCAATTTCATCTCAAGAGCTTTATGGGGACAGTCTTTGAAAGATCTTTTGGAAAGGATTTTTTAAAACATCAATAAGAAATCTCTTTTTCTTTAAGTCTTCCTTCTTCAAAAGGATTCTGATAAAGTTTTCACTGTTATTTCGCAATCATACCTTTCCCCTGAAAGTCTTTATGAACCTACCTTGTGCTTTTAAAAGCATGTACCATTCAATTACGTTGATTAGCAGCCACCAAGCTTGCCCATTCAAGGATCAAAGATTTTGCATGCGTTAAGAGGATGGGAATTGAGACCAGTATTAGATAGATAGATAGATAGATAGATAGATAGATAGATAGATAGATAGATAGATAGATAGATAGATGGATATAGTTCTATATAAAGTATCCTTTTTCAAGTCAATATTCAATAGTATGCTTTGCCTGTTATTTTGTTTGTTATTTGGCCTTTGGTATAACTAAATTATACTGATTTTTTTTAAAAAGTAAAATGATCATGACAGAGTTGCTGAAGAAATGTATGAAAAAATAAATATGTCTGAATATATATTGTAATGTCAGTTCCAAAATTTAAAGTCTAAGTACCATGCTGATGCTTTCATCCTAGAAACTTTAGACGAAAACTCATTTGTGATGTGGATCTGGGAGCCTTAAAATATTAGCCAAAACATGAAAGAAAGGTTAATAGCTAAAATAAAGTGTATCTTGAGCCATGGGATCTTTGTAGGGTACTGTCTGTGTTATCAATCTATAAAGCAGTCTGGAGAATAGAAGGAGTTGGAAATGGAAAATAAGTTTTTAATGCTACAGAGTACCACTTGAAGACTCTTCACTGTTCTGCTGCAGCACTCTAAAGAACCATTAGCAGCTGGATGTAAGCTTCTTTCTTTGTGAAAAATAGTCACTGTGAAATATGTAAATTGTGTTGATCAGAATGGATATAAGTGATCAGAATAGATGCTAACCACTGCTTGTGTCATTGGTCCTATAGTGGATAGAAAGAATGAATGACCTTGAGGGGTAGGCGAAAAAGCTGCCACAAAGACGATGTTAGATGAAAAGAACCTGAATATATGAGCCGAGGTGGCGCAGCAGTTAGAGTGCAGTACTGCAGGCCACTTTAGCTGACTGTGTTCAGCAGGTCAGCGGTTCAAATCTCACCAGCTCAAGGTTGACTCAGCCTTCCATCCTTCCGGGGTAGGTAAAATGAGGACCCAGATTGTTGGGTGCAATGTAAATATATATATACATTGCTTACTGGTGTACACCGCTTAGAGAGTGCTTGCACTTAAAGCGGTATATAAGTCTCATAAATAAATAAATCCAAAGATGTAATTTGAGAAATGGTTTCAGGCTTGACCCTCTTTAGTTCTCATGAAAATAAAGAGAGGGGGGGGGAAGCACATTCAGATTTACAAGATTCTGTTATGTAAACTTGTGATATAAGTTATGTTAGTCTGCTTGGCTTTGGTTTCTTAATCTGGTATACCTTGAAGGCTGATACGTCCCAGCTCAGACCTCATGACTGCTATTTATTTTTGGATACAGTGTGTGTGTGTGTGTGTGTGTGTGTGTGTGTGTGTGTGTGTATCGTATATATGAAATAACATCTGGATGAGATAATATCTGATCTTCAAATACCATGATGTATGCTACAATCTTCTTGGTAGAACTGCCACTTACTGGATTGATTTATATTTGGCAAAACAAGATAATTTACTGATTATCAGACTTTCCCCTCATTCCCATAACAGCCAGCTTAACAGGTAGTTTGTAACCCAAAGAGACGGACTAGTCAAAGTCACCCAATGACTTCCCATGACTTATAAAGGAGTTAAAAGTTTCTGTCTCCAGTCTGCCCAACTTTGGTAGATATAGGGGGCAAAATTTAGCTATTCCATTCACTATCTTGTTTAAATCCTGTTAAATCTTTGGCTCAGAGCAAATTTTGGAGAAGACCGAGTAGGCCTCTCTTTTTCTTCCCCCTCGCCCATACTCAAGTAGATATCCATTAGGTGGGGAAAAAAAACGAGGTGGGGGGAAAATGAAACTTTGATTTTGGGTTTTACTGATTACCGTAAATGCCGGCATATAAGGCGACTTCCGCGAGCGCTGAAATCAGCGCCAAAGACGGGGGTCGTCTTATACGCCGAGTCGTCTTATACGCCGGAAATACTGGTAGTTTCCGGCGTATAAGACGACATTCTAGGAATGCGGCCCGGCTATAAAGACGGGGGTCATCTTATACGCCGGGTCGCCTTGTACGCCGGCATTTACGGTAGATAGATCTGCTGTTATAGAAATGGCTAGTTTATACCATGATGTAAAAGTAAAAAGTTGAAGTTTGGTATTACCTACTGCACCAAAGGGAGTTGGAAGTCAATGCCTTTTCTTTCTTTTCCCTTTCTTTTCTACACTTTTCTCTTCCCTTTTCCCTCCCCTATTTTTCCTATTATTTGCTTTTGTGTTTTACATTATAAACTAATAAAAAGTAGGCATCCGTTAGAGATACTTTGCTAATATTTCAACTAGAGATTCAAGCTTGCTTTATAATGAAGGACAATTTGTCTATAGTTTAGGTTTATATGAATGTTCCTATGAGTATAATCAGGAAAGATAGCAATAGTAACATCATAATGAAACAAGATTAACAAGCATTTTGCATTTGGGCTCCGTTTAGGTCATAAAATATTTTTTATATTTTTATATATAAAACAACCCTATTCCACTCTCAAATGAAATAACCAGTTATGGAAGAAAATGGTATGTACAGCCATCACTGGTGATTTCTGGGGAGTCTTTAAGATTTGGAATTAATTCAATTTCTCAATAAGCGTGTAATATTATCGTAGCATTGGCAAGCACTTAGTGCATTTTTGTTGTTGGGTTTTTTTTTTTTTTGTTTTTTTATTTTTGTAAGAATCATTCTACCGGAGTCTCTTTAACCTCATTTTTGGTATTATACTAAAAAGGATAGAAACAAGTTTGCCACTGTTTAACAGTGCTTACTCAGAGGATTGCTTATATATATGAAGTTATTTCTTTTGGAAGCTTGTCGCAGAATTGGTAGTATTATAGAATTCATTTCAGTCTGATCTTTGCACTGCTGATATTTCAAAGAGTTTACTCTATGCTCCCTGATTATATCCAGGGTGCACAATGCTATTGGATGACATTTTCATTTTCCCTCTACGTGTCTCTTTCTCTCTCTAAGCATAATGATAGGTTTAGTCCAGCTGCTGATATAGCTTCAACCAGCTGTCACAAAGCTCAGGGTAATTCAAACACCATCTTGATAAAAAAAATATGGCACAGGATTTCTAAAGCTGAACTTGTCATAAAGTTGATACTAGAATTGTAGCAGTTGTTACTTTATTGTTGCTATGGCATAATTTTAAGAGGTTGCTACTGAGCACCATGAGAGAAGGGGGTTCTGCTTGGTCTGTGACCACTTAGCTTCACTCACCAAGTCCTATATTATGTCTCCCAGATTTTGCAGCAAGGTTAGGTTATATCAAAAATAGATGGTTTTTAGAGTATACTAGACCTTTAGTAGACTAGCAGATAAGCATTCAGCTAAACTGGTCACTAGTTGCAAAATAAGGTATAACTTGGCATTTTAATATATTCTCAGCAAAATCTATTACATTGTAACTTGTCTTTACCTTTAAATTGGATTATTATTGTTATAGTTCATTGCACAGTCAGCAAGATGTGATTGTTATTATATTCTACTCTTGCTGCTGCAGTCTTAACTGGCAGGTTTTTTTTTTTTTTTTTTCATTTATTAGCTTAGCTATGTCACTCCCCATTTCCCAACCTGTGATTTTAATCTCTTTGCCTATTTGCTTGTTATATTTTTCTTTGGTACAGCTCACAAATGTATGTTGATATTTGGTTTTTATCATATTTATTACTATGGATTTGCATTTGCTGTTTTTATATATCAGTTTTTATCTATTGTTGTGTACCTTTCAGAATCGCCTTGGCAAGATGGGCAGCTATATATATTTGATTATTAAATAAAATAAAGAAATGTTACATCCTTATTTGTACTTTTAGAATAATGATAATATGTCATCAGCAGTTGCTGACATTGTGCTATGAAATCACTCTGAATCCATTGTGAAAATAGGTTGTGGAGTTAGGCTATTGATTAATACTAATGAATGGCCCCAGTGGGGGGAAAAAAGAGGAATTTGAAAGAGAAGAGATCTAATCTACATTCATAAGTCTCTATAAGACTTGCAGGACTGATATTCAGTAGGAGGTTAACAGCTTTCCCCAACTATGTGCCATCTACAGATAATGAAACAAACTCCTATAAAAGGTACAAGGTTGGAGTGGATTATGTAGTCCAGAAGGAAACTGACAAAGGGTGGACTGGAGAGATACAGGACAAATAAATGAAATAAGATAAAGGAGATGATCAGGGGACAAGAAAAAAAGGAATCAGTAAGCTGCCATGATCCCCAAAAGTTCCTGGTATGAGTACAAAACAGCTCCTCCAATAGCAGAAACTACAACAGACTTTAAAGGCTGGTTTTCTTCCATCCTTATATTAATGCCCGACAGTAAATTGAACCTTTTCATGTCCATTAATCGAGTTTTATTTTAGTTAATAATCAGCATATCTACTCTCATTATAAAGTAAAACTAATTATAGTGTGATAATTGCTGTGCTTAGGCTGCTTCTATAATTGTACAGAAAGTAAAATGAGCAAGAGAGTATTTTAATGGGGATTTTTGATAACTTTAGTAAACAAGCTGGATCTTAAGATTAATGTTCAGGACTCTCTCTCTCAGCCCTACTCATCTCAGAGGGTTATTGTGGTGAAAATAGGAGGAGGAAAGTGTATTAGGTATGTTTCCCACCTGTAGTTATTTATAAAAAAAGTAAATAAAGGGAGAATGAAATATAAATAAAAATAAATAAAATAAACCCAACCTCTCCTTAAGATAAAAAAGAGCCGAGGTGGCGCAGCAGTTAGAGTGCAGTACTGCAGGCCACTTTAGCTGTGTTCAGCAGCTCAGCGGTTCAAATCTCACCGGCTCAAGGTTGACTCAGCCTTCCATCCTTCCGGGGTAGGTAAAATGAGGACCCAGATTGTTGGGGGCAATGTATATATATATATATATATATATATACATTGCTTACTGGTGTACACCGCTTAGAGAGTGCTTGCACTTAAAGCGGTATATAAGTCTCATAAATAAAATAAAAATAAATATTCTTAATAAGGTGTGCATGTCATTTCCATGCATTCCAGCAACTTATTGGTAAAGACAGATATTATAATCAGAAAATACCTGAATTTAATCTCTGAAGCCTGATAGAAAAAAAAAAAATCAAGGAAGGAATTTCTTTGCATAAGATCCTAAAAACTTATAGTCAAAGAAGATGATATATTTCAGTGGAAGAATGAATGCTTTGCCTTGATATAATATAACCTTTTAATTTGTGAACAGATATCCTAAGTAGGTAGTAGTAGTCATGTTACTTTGATCCATGAGATCCCTCTGAAGGCAACAAAGTTCTAGTTCATGCTTTTTTTTTATCTTAAAAAAGAATAAAGTTTCAAGTTGCCCCAATATCTGCCTTCTATCACCATTATTACCTATTTTCTTTGGAAGGAACTGTATTTAAATTTATTTCAGTTCAATGTATTACTATGGAATTTGAAACTTAAATGTTCATGTTGAGCAAGCAATGAAAACACTAAAAAATAATTAGACTTTCTTTCTATGAATTCTCAAGCAAATAAATTAACATTTAAGTATTCTTCATCTCACTGCTTTCTATTTTCTATGTTCCACAGGGTGCCCTGACAATTTTACCGATTCAAAATGTTTAAATCCCATTATGGCTTTTCAAGGTTGCATAAGACTCATCTTTATTGATAACCAGCCCAAGGACCTCACTTTAGTTCAGCAAGGCTCCCTGGGGGCTTACAGTGATTTGCGCATTGATATTTGTGGCATCAAAGACAGGTAATTATTCTCCTTTTCCTTTGTCTTGTTGTTTTCTTTCAGCTAAGTGGTTTATAAGTGCAGTTTTGCTAGAACTGGAAATTTTAATATGCTATCATTATTAATATTAGGTTTAACAGAGTTGCTACTGCAAAACATCACTTCAAAGCAAATGATAAAGTGTGTGAAATGTGTGTTCTCTCTCTCTCTGGCAGTTTGTGAAAGATGGAATATGCAAATTAAACCCTGCTATAGATTTGTGCAAGGATTAAATTATATACCCAAAGGACGTTTGACAGTTTTAAAGTTTAAATAAATAGCAAAGCCATTGTTTGAATCATCTAAATATGCCTTCTTCTCCACTTGTTTTGTTTGAATAAATGCTGAGTTGCGTGCTATAGTGAACACTGTAGATTTTTAGAATAGAAGCAGAATAAAGTAATATGGATCTTGCTAGATATCAAATTATTTTAGAAATCATCTTGAGGACCAGGCTGAAACACGAAAGCCGAGATTCATCCCTAATTCACTGGCATTATTGTTAGTAACAAAGAGGAACTCTCTTTGTATAACAAGGCAGAGAAACTTTAGGAAACTCAATTTCTTTTAATTCATAAATGATAAAGATACTGATAATGTAAGGACCCACCCCACTTTGCATCTTAAGAAGACAGAACTCTTGGAATAATTCTTCCAACAGGAATCCTCTATTAAGAAGAAGTGGTTGCAGGCGGGCTAGACAGGACTTGGGGTCCAAGCTCTCCCATTCAAGGTTTTAAGGGGTTCCCCAGCAGTCCCACCCAATCACCCCCCCTTCCAGTGATAGTTTCAGGCATCACAATTCCACCCCTTTGATGCTTTCTTCCGTCCTTCTGGATGGAGACTTCAAATAAACTACATGAAAGGTAAATAGCCCCTTTGTCATGGTAAGGTTCTTTGGTGCTATTTACATTCAAACTCTTTGAGGTTGCAATAAACACATTCCTTCATACTGAAGGAAGTGAGGGCCATAAAGCCCCTTTGTTCTCCTCCTTCTCTCCCTCTTATGGCAGAATCCAGAGAAGGCAGAATTGGGGTTTTCTATATTTGATGATTAAAGATGAAATATAATTGGATTCTGACAGATATATAGCAATTAATCTAGAATTGTGAGCTAGCATTTATTTACTGGTTTGCTTTGTTTTTGAGAAATTAATGTATATCTGAAGCTTCTGTTGTGTACAATCACCAGGCTTGACTTAAACATATATTTTAACTAAAAATATGAAATGAGAAACTAGTATCTTAGAAAGTGTAAAGCAGGCATGTCAAACTGCGTCATGCCAAAACCGCACCCACCCCATTGCCAGCAATAGGGAAAAAGTTGCGATACGTCGCGCGATGTCACATGATGTTGCGAGTTTGACATGCCTGGTGTAAAGTGTCTGATTTCAGCTTGAATTTTGTTCCTAAGAATTTCTGTGGAACTTAGAGTATAGATTTCATTGTCATTCTTTGAAATTAAAAAGGCAAATCATTGTGCCCCAGTGCTTTGCTTAAATGAATGTCTACCTTTCTAGAAAGACAATCCAAAAATGAAGCATTAGGAATACTTGGCTTCCCTTTTTTTTCCTATGGTTTTATACTTGAGAACTTTGTGATTTTTATTAGCCTGGGCCTCATGCTCCATGGTTCACTTATTCAGGCTGCATTAGTTTAGGAACAGCCCCGATACTAATACCTGCCTAAAGGAAATATGCATACAAGTAGTTACTGTAGTACTTGTAGATGTATATACGGAAGGTCTTTCCAGCAAAAATCCTTTTCAGTACAGTTTGCAGAACTGCTTCTTTACACCCAGTCTGGAATGTCCTTACTATGCCTGAAAGTCTTTAAGGTGGTCATCTTCAGTGCATGCTTCTGCCAATCCTGATTTTGAAGCACTGGTAGAGCAACATTGCTGGTTCACATTGGTTCATCATCCTCATCAACAAAGACAATCATGCTAATATGATGCTCTCAAAACAAACCTAAGTCATTTTAATCTATCGTCTATCTATCGAATTTGATGATAGATAGATGATAGATAGATAGATAGATAGATAGATAGATAGATAGATCTATTATCTATGTTTCTATTACTGAATGTGTCAGTAGTACTTTGACTCAATGAATCCTCCATCAAATCATCTCAGTTGTGTAAACTGAACCAAGTTTCTGCTTCAAAACAATAGAATGAAACAAGACTCCAAAGTCCTTCACAGCCTTCCAAAATGCCCTACAGATCCCCAAGTTTTTCTGCTATTGCTAAGTTTGCTGGGAAAGGTATATAGTGTGATTTCTACACTTCCATAGATAGATACTGCTAGAGATATGAGTGATGTATTGGACTTTTTGATACTGCAATAGACTGCACTGAAATATGTTTTGGGATTGGCATGGGTGTACTAGTCGCTCATCCTTAACTATGTTTTGCCTGAGATCACAGGGCTACTGTGTGAGCCCAGGAATACATGTGCCTTCTTTAAGGAGGTATTAACAGATGTGTGTCTATTCATGCCTGTTCCAAGACAGCTTTTCTGCTTCTAACTGAAACAACTGCACATTCCTGCAGTGGTCTATTAATTGTATCCCTGCATTAAACTCTCTTCCTCTCAACTCTTGTGGGGTGGCAAGGCTTAGATTGCTGTGGGCTTCATGCAGCTCATCAGCTCTCAACATCTTTCACACCTCTTAACAGCTTTACTGTCTCTTCTTGTAATGGAAAACACAAGTGGTAGTTTAGTTAAGCTTTTAGTATCCCAAATAAGGGCTCAAAGATGATCAGTTCATTATCCTATATAAATTATAGGATTAGGTTGTTCCACAAATATGGCTTGTAATTTGTGAAGGAAACTGAACCATTTCAGGTTTAGTGAAGACAATGTGTATGCCTTTTAATGAATGTTCTATTTAGCTCATTGATATACTCAGTGAATATGAATGAGAATACCTTTGCTGGATATTTTAAATAGCAAAGTAGTCCTCGACTTACAACTACAATTGACTCCCAAATTTCTGTTGCTAAGTAAGATATCTGTTGATTGAGTTTTGCCCCATTGTACATATTTTGCATATTTGTTAAGTGAATCACTGCAGTTGTTAAGTTAGTAATATGGTTGTTCAGGGAATCCAACTTCCCCATTGACTTTGCTTGTCAGAAGGTCACAAAAGGGGATCACGTGACCCCGGGCCATTGCAACTGTCATAAATATGAGCCAGTTGCCAAGTGTCTGAATTTTGATCATGTGGCCATGGGAATGTTGCAATGGTTATAAATGTGAAAAATGGTCATAAGTCACTTTTTTTCAGTGCCATTGTAAATTTGAATAGTCACTAAATGAACTGTTGTAAATTGAGGACTACTTATATTTTGAGAAATACAATAGAGGCTGGTATTTACAGTATAAAATCCTTGACATCCTTACAGTTCAAAGGAGATTTTGAGGATCACTGCTGTTACTAACTCTGTAGAAATCTAGATGGGACCAATTCAGGGCAAATAAATGAAAACATAGGAACAAAATTGTCTTAGTGTGCGGGGGTGGAACAATGTCTTAGAGAAGCTTTTTTATTACCTTGCATCTTTATTATTAAAATGTAAAGATTATGGGATTGCATATTAAAATAGAGATGGTTCAGATTTCAGTACCATGATGAAATATAATCCATCTTCATCTTTTGCAGTAGCATTAAAAACTGAAGTAGTATTGAAAGCAAATCCCAGAAATTGAGTTTTTTTTTTCTAGCCAATATATAGATTTGTGTCATAATGGGATCACTATCTTGTCATTGAAAGCTTTCATGGACTGTGATATAAGAAAGCTGTTTCAAACAGCAGCTCTGGTTATGTTTATGAAAGAAAAGGTGGAAGCAGTTGCTTTTACAGCTCAGGTTTACATATTGGTTATATAAAACTCAGATCTCTGGATTTCCCCATTAAATGGATCACTATCTTGTCACTGAAAGCTTTCATGGGCTGTGGTTTAAGAAAGTTGTTTTAAGCAACAGCTCTGGTTGTGTTTGTGATAGGAAGGGTAGAAACAGGTTTTGTTTTTTTCCTGCAGGGAGTGACTGAAGTCGCTTCTTTAGCTTGCTAGTGGTGTGGGGGGAATCCTTCATGTGTTGCCACTCAGCAGTTGATAGCATTTATTATTTCTGGTTCTTCTAGGTATTTTCTAAAGAAAGGTAAAAAATAGCAGTACAGTAGTCACCTCATGCAGAGAAGGCAGCCGCTGTTGATTAACTCCTTCTTTCAAGTTTAGATTGGGCTCTGAAGACTAACTAAGAGAGGCATGTTGAGATGGGTCCTTTTCTAAGAACTGGAGACTAAGAACTTTTCTGAGAACTGGGAAGTTGACTGCTGCTGTTTCTTTATTTAACACTTAAATTGGGCTCTGCACACTCACTCACAGGTTTCTTTTTCCTTCTTTGTGAAACATGGTATGGGTTACCTGATAATTTCTGGAGAATAAAAGAACAAAGAATACTTGCTCAGATTGCATCTGTTCTCCTTCATTATTACAGCTCTTTGCAGTCAAATAATATTCTGAGAAACTGGATCAAATGTTCTTTTTTTTTTTCCTGAATTCCTTCCTATCTTGGTCTCCATGGTGGGCTTCTCCTTTTGATCACAGAATCTTTATTTCACCTGCCAGGTATTTTTCTTTTAATTTTATTTATTTATTATTTACACATATTTTTTATTAAAAAAGTTCCCCTCCCTACAGGTTAAAAAACAAATTTTAAGTTAAAAGTAGAAAAATAGAGAAAAGTAATAGAAAAGTGAAAAGGAAATGAAAAAGATAAAAAGAAGGAAAAATAGAAAAGCAAGTACAATGCAAAAGAGGCTTCTGATCTACTTAATAGGAATTATAAATACATTTAGATTTTACTCTTTCTACGGTTACATCAAACTTCTTTCTATATTCTACTTTTTTTAATGATCAGATCCAAATCCTGAATTTTGGCTTTTGGGATTATGTTGTGCCATGGATTTTGGC